CTTTTCTAAGAATTACCCTGGAATCAAGCTGTATGCTGCCTGTTCTGTGTTCTTCAGAATAAGCTCGTTTTTTATTTCTCCCAGGACCAATACTGCACGATGTCAGCATGGAGCACTAGTCCTAAACGTCCAACAGAAAACCCGAGGCAATAAACACTACCTTTGAAGGTGTCACGATGGCTTCTTGCTTGTGACAACTTCAAAGTGTATGTTTAGGCCAGAAGGACTTTCTGGCATTTCACTGTGCAATGAGAAATCTTAATAGCAGGCACTTTGCACAGAGACTCTTGCAGGAGGCCCCTTGAACCTCTGGGCCTGTGCTCTGTGCCTGGTGGGCCCCTCAGAAATCCATCCATGAATGCGAAGGGAGCAAACCTTAATCCACGAGTACTGTCTGATGAGTCATCTATTGCCCACTCGACACATTTACATCTTTGGCACACTGTCTGCCAGCTGTGCTCAATCAATCAATCAATCAATCAATCAATCAATCAATCAATCAATCAATCAATCAATCAATCAATCAATTTTATTTATAAAGCCTAATATCACAAATGACAATTTGCCTCACAGGGCTTTACAGCATACGACATCCCTCTGTCCTTAGGACCCTCACAGCAGATAAGGAAAAACTCCTGATGTATCTGCTTGTTCTGTATAATGGCTAAAGAACTTCAGAATTATGTACTTAAAGTTACCTTTATTAAGTACATTCATGGGTGGACTATGAGACAGAGATATGCAAAGGGCCCCACCACCTCTCCTACTTAGGAGCAAGACCATAGACTGTAGTAATAATAATAGACGTAGCTATCCTGATGTCACCTATTGGTTTGTGGACTGCCAATTAGAAGTCTCAAATTCAGCATTTCTGCTGCCGCCATCTTGTGTTTTTGGAGCCAGAAGTGACCATATTTTGGTGAGAGGCGATGGCTGTGGAGGAGCGAGGGGTGGATCTGACTGAGAAGCAGAAGACACTATCCGCAGACAGCCTGTCACTCAAAGCAGTCCTCTCTTAATTATACGTAACTTTAAGCTTTAATGAAATGTAAACAGGTGAGTTATTAAAAAAATCCCTCCATATAGTTGTCAGAAAGGGGAAGTAGCCGTAGAGACCAAAAGCATTTTTGTACCAGGCTTTAAACATGTTTATTTCTTCTGTAAAGTTGGACATTTTAACATGCGTGTCTGTGAGGATTGACTGGTATCTGGAGCCAGCCTCAAGTGGCCATTTAAGGAAGTGCAGTTTTTGGCATGTGCGCACTGGCATCATTTTTCAGCCCCAGAGGTTGGCGCTTGCGCAAGACACACAATTTGTGGTGGGTTTTATTCTCGTTTTAGTTGTTATGCATCTTTTTGTGGGTTTTTGTCTCTTTGAAGTAATTAGTGTCTAATTTGACATTTGACATTTTGCAAGTAAAGGCCAGGGTACCCCTGACAATGGTCGGCCCGTTCAGGAATCCATTCATGAGTACATTCTGCGTATCCTTACCTCTGTTCTGTTTACCTACAGCGCAGGATTAGAGGATAACTTTGCCTTTTTTCAACATTAACTTCATCTAAACAAGTTTGGGGTATAGTGTGACACATTCTCGGAACCCATTGGCTGTATCGCCATCTGACTTCCGGCAGACGGCGATACAGCCTCTGGGGGCAGACCCCCAATTTTTTGGCATTCTGGTTTGATTTGGGCGGAGGAGGCGAATTTCCATTTCCGACTTCTGTTTATATATAAGTAAATATGCTGAACCATTGCGATGGATTCAGAGTTTGCAGTGACAAAAATTATGTTCCACCTTGTTAGTTCACCACACAGACCATTTAACCTGGCAACAACTGCAGCCGGCTCAAACGTGATTGGTCAATATCACGCAGACTACAAACAGCCTACAACCAGAAACCTGGGCTCTTCCGCTCTTCTTCTGGAGGCAAGATCTCTTGGGTTTGCCTACAGACTCTACATTCACTGAATGTAGAGTTTGTTTATGGAGGCTAAGTGTGACATAAAACAAAATGTTTTTTTTATACTTCTCTGTCTCTGGGAGCTGCTTTAAAACCTGCTGTTCTGCGAACCACTGACATCAGGGGTGCTCGGAAGAACTACAAGCTATTTTGGCTGTATTTCTAGTCTGCACCTCTGGGTATCCAAGGGGCATGCTCCAGATGCAAAAACAAAATTTCCCTCTTGTCTCGCATTGCAAACTAGGTGTGTGTTCATCAAAATGGCATCCTACATTATGAGTGCAGAGGATTATGGACCAGGATATTTTTTACAGTGTAACTGCTAAGGGTGGGAAGGACCCACAATAAAATATTATCACGATACTTAGGTCACGATACGATATTATTACAATATTAAAATGTGTGCAAAATGCTGAGTATTGCAATAAAATATGATGCGATAAATACAAAATTGATTGATACTTGACGTCCATGTATTGATACAATATCGCCATGCAAAATATTGCAATACTATACTGTATCGATGGAGACTACAGTTCGACTATTGGACAAAGATTTTGACAGCTGGCTGAGTCTGTTTCTGTCAAGTATAAAGTGAAGTATAGAATGTACAGGAAGTATATGGGTTTGGGGAGTATTTGGGGTTGAGCATCAAGACCTCTTGTGCAATGCATCCTGGTGCATTTAGGCACTGAACTTAAAGGCTGTGCAAAAAGGTAAACTCAGCGTCTCTGTCAATACAAAACATACTGAGGAATGTATTGCTTCAGTTGACTGCATTTAGCACCGACACTGACTGGATATCCACTTAAACTGTGGCGAATTTCTCCTTTGACATTCGAGTGGCCCATGCAACCACTGCTTTATATTTGCTGATGTGGGTTTTTCCAATCACATATTCACACAGAGTGATGAAACCAGATTCTCTGCTTCTTCAAGGATTTTCTAAGAATTACCATGGGATCAAGCTGCAGGCTGCCTGTTCTGTGTTTTTCAGAATAAGGTCCTTGTTTGTTGATTTGAATTTCCTCCGGGACTATAACTGGAACATTAGTCGATCGGCTTCCATGTCCAAAACAGCAAAAAATTAATTAGCAACAAATAAAGTGCCTATGCATGTTTATGCACAAAGAGAGATGTAGATGCAAACAAACATGAAGATACAGATACACACACACACACAAAAAGCACAAAAAAGAAGCAATGCGCACGGTGCCAAATGCACTAGATTTCAATAGAATAAACAATAGAATAAAACATCAAAACAAGTAGCTCTGTGGAGCTCATTAAGACACACACACATATGGATGCACACACAATGACAGATGGACGGTGGCTTAATTCAAAGACTTCCCACAATAAACTAAATGTCAGAAGCCCCTCTTCTGTGACAGGTGTGTGTGTGTGTGTGTGTGTGTGTGTGTGTGTGTGTGTGTGTGTGTCCGTAAAAGTTCCTGACTCTTTTGTCTTTCCAGATCCAAATACTTTCTGAAGTAACCTGTCTGTCTGTACTTAATTATTCTGTTTTATATTTTTTATAAAGCCTTCAGTAGTCTTCAACCTCTGCAGAATCATGTACAGCATTGAACCAGAACAGGATCTCTCAAACCAAAGAACTATTTGAGAAGCTGTGATTGAATTACATTACACCTGCCTACTGGCTCAGGCTGAAACTGCTTATCTTTGTGGGGCTGAGTTTTCTTCTCACCACCTACATATAGTCATAAGCTGATTAATCCTTGAAAATGATAAAGTGTGTGTGTATGTGTATGTGTGTGTGTGTGTGTGTGTGTGTGTGTGTGTGTGTATATGTGTGCAAGAGAGAGCTATATGCAGGGGGAGAGAGTTGAAAGATGAAAGCTGGTTTCCATCATTCAGCATGATAGCAGGATACTAGCCCCCACCAGTAAATGGATTACCTTATCACAGACCTCTGGATGAGTGTGTGCGTGCTTGTCACAGTTGTCACTTGGAGATATGACCAGAGAATTTTCCTTACAGGTTGGTGGCTCACTGCTCTTGTTCAGCCGTCCACATCCCTCACTCTCCTCTCACCCTCAATCAACCCACATGCCTCAGAATGATCAGAAATGATATACTGTGTTCTTCGGGAGGTGATGTTGTTTTTAAAAGGTTGGCTCACTGGTTCAGTTGGTAGAAAGTAGCTCCAATGGCAATGGCAAAGGCAATTAGATTCATATTGAGGTTTTGATATTGCAGAACATTGCACAGCCCCGCCAGGATGTTGTGACAGTTGACACAAATTCAACCACTCCCAGTCAATTTTACAACTTTTTCTCAAATTTGACCAATCATCGTAGTTTCCCGTGAGTTTCACCAGTCATAGCAGTGCCCCGCATAACGTCACCAAACTGATTTCAAACAGTAGAGACTTGGTTTTATAGTGAAAATAATATTTATTAACATGTGCACATAAGATGAAAAATGTGAAAAGTCTTTGGCGAGTAGACCCTATCGAGATGGTATGATAAAAGGAGGGTGATGAATCCATAGTCGCACAGGGAACCCCTCAATGAGCCTTTAATGAGCTTGTCCTGGACTCTGGATACGATGGCTGGAGGTGAACGGGGTGGAGGAGGGCATGACACCTCTGCCTAAAATGTCAGCTGACAGCAGCAGAGGATGGAACAGATTTAAAATTTTGCAGTAGCATCCTGATTGGCTGATAGAGATTGTGGCGAAGTTTGATTGGATAATGAGAAGAGTGAACACCCATAGTCAGCTGATAGGGGAAGCAGTGGGAGTGGGAGAGAGAGAGAGGGTCCGTCCCAAGTCTCTTATTTTTATAGTGCTACTGCTAGCTCCTCGCTTGAACCGGAAGTCGTTCGAGGTCCGCCATCTTCTAGGCCTTCCCAAGTCTCTTATTTGTGCGGCGAGGAGCTAGCACTAGGAGCTAGCAGCAAGCTTTAAGCAGCTACAAGCTAGGATGGTCAAGAGCTTCCTATCCGGAAGAGTTTTTCAGCTGAATGCCATGATGTATAAATACCCGCCCTCTACATCTGGCTCATTTGAACGAGATGGCGGAGAAACAGTACAAGAGTAAGTACCCGTTACATGCATTCTTTGCAATGAATCGCTGTAATTCACGTACCTACTTCAAAGAGTAATGATATTTCATGCAAGATTGTTATGTTGCAATTAGGTTTATTTCAGTCACAACCCGTTGCGTTGTTCATCGGACTGTCGGTGATGTGCGGCTGCTACATACAGAAGTGTGCGACCAGAGTCATGACGGCAGGGGGTGGGGGCTACTGTTTTGGTCAGCGAATATAATGAGACTTGGGATGTACCCATAGTAACGCCAGACGCTGGCTGTTTTACGGAGCCACCATCATCAGGAATGGACGTTGCTTCACGTGACGCTTCAGTGAAAAGGACGTCTCATGTCCCTTAAACCGACAATGCTCACTCATCGCTCCTAGCGCTAGCTCCTCGCATTTTTCCTAGGTGGGAGGGGCTAAACAGCTAGCAAAGTCAGCTAGGTAAGATAACTAGCAGTAATTTAAGAGACTTGGGATGGACCCAGAATTGTGAATGGATGAGCACAAAGAAAGTCTTCCTGACTGCACTTACACTGAGCTTCATTTCCTTGTTTCTGGTTGTGAAGATGCAAACATGTGCAAGACCAACATCTCACATTTACCAACAAAAATTACCGCTGAAGACCGTGCAAGGCTATTCCCTGATGTTCTGCATTAAAACGGGGGTAAACTGATTTGCACCTCAAAACATGAACAAAAGTAATTAACTGACTTTTCTACCACAAAACACACCCAAAAAACGGCTGAAACGTGTGGATAACAGACAAGACAAATCATCATGAGAGAGGGTGTTGCATCCGGATCTTTTGCAAGTGCTGAAAAGACCAAAGTGTGTTAGATTAAATATGCATGGTAAATGGTAACTTTATTGTAGTCTCACAAACTTGAACAGTGTGGTTTTATTCCCACTGGAAATTATCTTTGATTTGATGAATTACACACAAAAAAAGCAATTTTATTTGCAATTTTTATGTCATTGCAAAAAAAAAGAGTCTAAAACATTGCTACATGCATGACAATTATTTAGAAAAGCTGCTGTGAGATCAGACATTTTAGGTCTTAACAATCCCAGAAAAGCCAACAAAATCCTGGAGGGACTGATGGCTACAGTATTTGTTACCTGGAACTAAAGACAAAGTACAGAAGAGGTTGATGGGGATGACACTAGTTCTGCAGGTATTTCGTCATAAACAAAAGTACTGGATGAATTAATATGTTGACTGAGTGAAAAGTTAAGTAATGGCCAAAGTGATTGTATTTCATCCTGGAGAGAACATGAATGTGTGTACCGAATTTCACTGCAATCCATCCAATTTTTGTTGAGACACTTCACTCAAAACCACAAATGTGAAGCTCATGTGGGCAATAGAGGAAAAGTCAGAGGATCACCATCAGCATTAGGATATATCCACTGGGGATCATGAATGTATGTACAAAATTTCAAGGCAATCTGTCTGGTAATTTCTCAATAATCTCTATGAAGATGCTGATATAGTGGCTAAAAAAATAAAAATATTAACATGGAATTCATTCCTTGGGGATATATTTCTGATTGAGTCAACATTCATCATCTTTAATAAAGCTAAGTAGTGCCTTTTAGCATCCTGGGACTATGACCTGGATTATTTTACATTCTAAAGTGAAGTGAGTGATATCCTATCCTGGCTGTCTATGTTTCAGTTTGAAGTGACCTACTTGCAATTTGTGAGCTAGTTGCTAATTGATTTCAATGTGCACACTGTACCCCGATGCAATGTGGTGTGCTGTGGTTATGTTAAAGAACAAACACAAACAACAAACATTAAACTCCGGCAAGTTTGTACTGTCTCCCTTTAAAAGAAAACTTTCTAGAAATGATTGACTTGGCCTGATTTCACTCACTTTACCAATCCGAGAACATTAAAACAAATACTGCAAATACTACAGATAATGTGTAACTATTGAGGCCCTGATCTCCCCATGTGAGACGTCTAATCAAAACATAGTCTCCAGAGTGTGAACAAGTGTGGGAGACTATAAATAAACCAGAACCAAACTGCCTGTCTTTCTTCAAACACAGCCCAGGCTGGGATCGCACAAGCGTGTCCAATCTAGAGTGCCTAGGCGATGCAAACATCTTTTGAGGATGACATGTCAGTCAGACGAACAGGAAAACAATGAAGAGCGATGAGGCATGGAGGAGACCGACTGGTTGAGGTGTCATTCAGAACGCAGAGGACACACACATATGCAAGACATAAATGAGCACAAGTAGAAATGTGTGTGTTTGCACTCACAAATGTATTTGCACAAGTGGTGTTCATGACCACATGCAGAGAGATGGACACTGATATATATAATTTCACCCAGTGGAGATACCCGACTTTTAAATGTGTTGCACACTTTTCAAACTGTGAACAGTTAATGAGAAATCGACATAACTAAACAACTTCGCTAACAAACATTGTTAATAAATGACAAACAACAAGAGAACACAATATGTGCAAATCTGCTAATTTTATTGTCATGTTTTTTTTTTCTGTGCCCCAGATGGCTTTTGCCTTTTTATTTTCTCTCACTGTAAAGCTCTCCACACACACTCGACTCCACCATTTCCCCTTATGTTTGATTTTTTTTTTAAAATGTCAACAATTTTGGAGTATTTTGGTGCCTTATGGCTGATTTAAAGCTCCACAGAACTTAATGCTGAGCCTACGCAAGTGTCCATGGGGTGGTGTGTCTGTGTCACTCTGCAGTTACACCTGTAAGACTCTACTTGGTTTGACTGATTCAAAACACACCACACACATAAAACATGCCCTAACAGCGACAATATTAATCACAAGTACAAAATTCGGCCCTGTTATAACTTACAATGTTCCTAGACAAAACATTTGTCTTACACTAAACATGCTCTCCCCACTTTGTGGCTAGCAGACTTTCCTCTACTCATATAATGCAAAGATAAATTACTCACTAGACTTAAAATGCTATTTTGTGGAGGCTATATTTTATTCTTCACACTTTATTGTTTCTTATCTGTGAGATAAAAGTAATTTAAAGTTTCCACTAAGTGAAATGGTTTTCAGCTTACAAAAAATAAACAGGTCTGCATCGCCACAACATGTAGTTACATTTCCCAGGAAATGCATGTCAGGCTTCTGTGTAGGGTATGTGTTTATGCAGAGCCTCAGAGCGTCAGTTCAATGCAGGAGTATAAATCCCACTTTACTCTACGTTCACGCCAAAAGCTGCCAGAGCTGCAAAATAGCTGAATTCGCTCTAGCAGCGGCGCTGGTAAAATATTTGTGGCAGCGAAAGCAGCTCAAGTCGCTCATGACATCAAATTCTGAATGTTCGATTATGCTTCTCAATTTAAAGGAGCCGCAAAGCAGGTTACTGGCTGGAGCACAGACATGTGACTTCGTGCATTTGCCTGAGTACAGAAACTTTCACGTTTGGACAATGAAAACGAAATAAAATGTCTAAATAGGTCCGACATTAAACATTAAACACACACAGCCTGTGTTGCCTTCAGGCGTTGTCAAGTAAATAACAAATTCCAGTACTTGAATAGGCTGTAGCACAACACAGCAGCATGTCAAGTGGGCCGAACCCGAACTGAATATGAGCAAAATTTTTTGATTTGTTATTCCCCCCCAAAGCTGTAAACCTAGGGGAAACACTGTTAATGGTTTGGGTTCGAGTGCCTACAGTGCGATTAGTTAAACTGGTGGTAAGGAGAGCAAATGAATTGCATTCCCGCTACTAACAAGCCAGAACACAAAGAAATTGTATAAGTACGTACGCTTGTCCACACTTGTGTATCGATTCAACATGGAAGAAGACACTCTTGTAATTTGTGCTGCCGTGTGGTACCTGTGTGGATGTAGCCGCCGTTGGGTCTGGGTTCACGATATCCTCTGGGGCCGTGAACAGCACGGGGAATATCATTGGCTGGTGCAGGAGCTGCAGCTGGATGGGGAGAGCTTCCAGCGCTACTTCAGGCTTAGTCTCGCTCACCAGACCTTTCTCAAGGAAAGAAAGATCTGGCTGGGCCGACTCTCACTTTAAGATTGGAGAAAAAAAAACGTCTCGGCTGCTTGTATTTCTTTCAACCAATCACAATCGTTCTGGACGGTGCCACAGCAAGGGTGCGCTTGCAAAAGTATTGCTGGGGGGAAACAGGTTTTGGTGTAACACGCCCACAAAAATATCACCTACAGGACGCGAACCATGGCAGAAAAATGGCTACATCCCCGCAAGATCAAACACCGCAAAAGTTAGTAAAGGACGTGTTGAAAACTGCAACCGGAGGTGGTAGGGCGGGACTTCAGCGGGTGGCTCATTCCGCCCAATCAGAGGCTGATCTATGCAGCGAACTTCCGCCCACTCAGACTACTTCAGGCTGAACATAGATCAGTTTGACAGCATGCTGCTTGTTTTGAAGTAGGAACGAATGTGTGGTAGGAACTAAAAGTTTCCGAGGATGTTCTCTGGGTTCCACACAAGCAATAGACATCTACATTCCGATTGGTTGCTGGTCATTTGCAGCTCAAATGCATCATAGCTAATTTACATAAGTTACCCAGTCTTCAGCTTTCATTTGCAGCTCAATTCGCCAAACCGCCGCCGCTCATCGATTTTGCAGCTCAAAACGCTTCTAGTCACCACATGTCCATTGAAAATGATAAGACCTGTCACCTTTGCAGGTCTGGCAGCTTTTGGTGTGAACGTACAGTTAGACTTCTACTTATGCTGTCTATAGGAAGATATGCCACTGCATGCAAATAGTGAAAGCAATTCTGACAAAACTAACCTCTGGAAGTCAGAGGTGTGGGCTCCAGTCATATGACTTGGACTCGAGTCAGACTCAATTCACAAATATGATGACATTAGACTTGACTTGACAAAATCAAAAACGACTTGCATTCAACTTGGACTTCACTTGGTCTTCAGCCTTTTGAATTGCAAGTACTTGATACCTTTGCCTAATCCCAAAGATGAAAGTATGTGCCA